AAATATGTTGCTTTAAACTAAATGATTCCGTGACTGCTAAAAGATTAACGCACATGTTTGACTGTATATCCAAAAGATCTATATTAAAGTCGCCTGTACAAATTATTTTGTCACACCCGGTATATATATCAACAAGTGTATTTTTAAATTTGTTTAGAAATAAAGAATAGTTAGATTTAGGAGGTCTGTAGATTACACCAATAGCATACCTCACCTTATTTATATTTACCTCTATCCAAAGTTGTTTAACATAATTCATACTTTCGCTTATCAGAACTTTGAATCTTAAATTGTTTTTAATATATAAAAGAATGCCTCCACCCCGCTTATGAAGTCTATCGCATCTGACTATATTATATCCATTAATTTGAAGTAAATTGTCATCAACTTCTGGTTTTAACCACGATTCAGATATGGCGAAAATGTTATATGATTTAGCTAAAATAGTTTGTTTTACTGAATTTAATTTTGATGTTAAAGAACCTACGTTTAAATGTCCTATAAAAATATACATTTTTAATTAGCTATTAATTAAAAATTAGGCGTAAATTCATTTATTTTACAGTGTAAATTAAATCTAATCTAATCTAATAAATAGTACAGAAAATTAATTTCTTTAATCAAAATTTTCAGAAGTATAAATTATAATCTTCGCATTAATTGTTTTTTGTACTTCTTAGGTTTTTTGGACTATAGCGATAGCACTTGCTTCTGTTTATTTTCGGCTTGGGCTGGGTTCTTTCCACCACGGTAGACTTCTGACTATTCTGCTTCATAAATTGATCTTCAGTATCTACCTCGTTATCTTCGCTATCAGAACTTAGAGTTTCGGACGTACTTTCAAGATTCTTTAGTTGTTCAGTTGAAAATGCAGTGTCATTAACATATAGAGTAAATCCTTTAATACTGGCATTAAAATTTTGTGATCTCGCTGCTTTTAAATGGGTTCTCAAAATTTTTTGTTCCTCCCTGTCTTCCTTGCTTAGGTCGTTTGCTATTGAAAAACCTTTATCTCTGAATTGTTTTAACTTTTATTTATCATGAAAAAGTGTTAATTTCGTAAGAAATGATGCAAATTCTAATAAAATTGGTGATTTCGGCACTTTGTAACAATTATTTAGGTCCCGTTCTTCAATTTTAACTCCTAGATTGTCATTAAAAAGGCTTATAACTTTTTGTAACAGATTATCTTCGGAATGTATGTTTACACCAAAAACTACAACGTTATTCTTTTTTAATTTACGTTCAGTTTCTAGGCACCGCTTTTTAAGTTTATCTACTTCTTTATTCACAATTTCAATCACAGCTTATTCACTACCAGCTGGTCATCTCGCCATAAAACGGAACGTTGGAGTTGGGAAGGCTGCGCATATGGGCGGAGTCATTACCAGCTGTCTGAGCTTCACTTGCCGCTAGAAAGTGGTGTGTAGAGAACAGGAGTACAGGAGCGAACTTAGTGTATTTTATCGTGTTGTGTGTAAAAAGTTTATTTTCGAGGTAACATGCGATAATGCGTATTTTTAATCGTTGTGCGGCGCTAAAGATATAGCAGGTTTTATAAATATACAAGTACGAGAAATGGTCAAGAAACCGAAAGGTAGACGATTCACTAGTGAATTTAAGCAATATTGTTTGTCGCTCTATTTTCTAAGTCCGAAATTATATAAAAAACAGCAACTGTCAAATAACTTTTGTCTGCCTGGAATTGGCACCTTACAAAAGTTTATCAGTGACATTAATTTTTCTGTTGGTATAAATAGTGTACTATTTAAAATTTTAAAGGATAAAGCCAAAAACGTTTTGAGTTATTAGATAAACTTTGTTTTACTTTTGTGGATGAAACGAACTGTAAAGCTAATTTGTTTTATAATATAAATTCAGATAGGGTATATGATCTTAAAGACATGGGAGGTGAATACAGATCTTTTAAACCAGCACTAGCTGCCACAGTAGTCATGACTAGAGGTATATGTACAAATTGGAAACAACCACTTGCCTATTATCTAGTTAATTCTACGTGTCCTGGATTGCAATTAAAGCAACTAATTTTAAACGTCATACAAGAAGTTACTAATATAGGGCTCCAAGTAGTAGGCGTTGTATGTGACATGGGCTCAAATAATTTGCAGTTGGCAAAATTACTGGATGTTTCACCAGAACATCCGTATTTCATGTTTGGGAATGACAAAATTGTATTTCTCTTTGATATCCCTCATTTGTTAAAAGCACTTAGAAATAACCTGATAAAACACAATTTTAAGATTAATGATTCAGTAGCCTCTTGGGAATATGTGAAACAATTTTATTCGCATGATAAGTCATACAATATTCGAGGGGTTCCAAAATTGACTGACTCACACATTTTCCCCAACAATTTTGAGAAAATGAAGGTCAAATTAGCAGCTCAAGTTTTTAGTGCTTCTGTAGCTCACAGTATGTATTTATACATTAGGTTCGACGCACTTTCATCAGCAGCTACTACTACAGCGGACTTGATTTTAAGAATGAACAATTTGTTCGAAATTTTAAATACATCTGGTGGTCCAGCAGCTACACAATATCAGGAAGTGTATGTAGGCAACAGAGAACAAAACAGACTTTTGGAAGGAGTGCTTAACTTTTTTCAATAATATGGAAGTATTTAACGCAGATGGAGTAAATGTTACAAAAACAATTAAGAGCATATTGGATTGGAAAATAACTATTAACGGTATTTTGCATTTATGGGAAAATTTACAGCATTCTGACATAAAATTTTTATTAACTCAAAGAACGCATTGTCTTGAAATTTTTTTGGGTTCTGTTCACCAAACAGTGTGGAAATAATGTAAATCCAACCCCAACACAGTTTATAAGGGCGTTCAGAAAATTACTTTCTTTAGATCTCTTACATATAGGTACAGAAAACTGCGAGGACGATACTAGTCGTGTTTTACTGAAGATGACAGATATGCCACAGAATGTGGAAGACCAGTGTGAACCTGCAGTACCTATTAAAACTGTAATCGTAGATACTGATTATAGAAAATCAGATATTTTAGAAAAAAAATTTGACAAATATGTTTGCGGTTATTTAATAAAAATATGTTTGGTGCGGCATACTTGTGACACGTGCGTGCAATATGCAAATGCAAATAGTACCAAAGTGGATGAAACATCATTTTCTTTTTATAAAGCATACAGGCACTCAGATTTGGATCAGTACGGTAGTCTTTATATGCCACATACAAATTTTATAAATTTTATAACAGCATTAAAAATACTGTTCCAAAAGAATTTTGAGAAATTGACTGTTATAATTTAGTTTCCACAATTCTGTGGTCGGTATTACACATTTTTAGAGAATAGCGCTTGAAAATTTCGGGACATATGAATTAGGATTTTTAGAATCCAAATCGACGATCTTTTTAGGACATTTGGTGCTGTAAAAATTAAAAAATATGTAAAAATATTTTGTTTTAACTGTTTTATGTTACAAAATTTGACTGGTAATATTTAATTATGACGTTTTGTCTTTCGCGGTTATCCTTGTATTATTATAAATGTTTTTTTGTACCTTATTTTTATTACTTCACAACGTATATAGACCTAGATCCTTTTAACTGCCTAAAATATACTCTTCTAAACGTATCTTGACTAAAAACTCCATTTACGTAAAAAACGACTTATGACCTTTTAAGCGCCGTCCACAGAATTGTTAATATTTTTAAAACCGTCACATTTATTTACCGCTGTACACATTTTCCGCATACGTACTTGCTGAACTTATATGCAAAAGTCAGAACTTATTATACGCCAAAATATGCCAATAGGAATTTTAAAGTCAGAAAAATCAGTAATTATTTTCTTATTAGTAATGTAAGCTAATGTGCAAGTCGTTTTTAATAAATATTTTGTAATATACATTTATAATTTTTATCGTTTCTGTAATCCGATTCTTGTTAAAACAACTTAATACGGGCCTGATACGCGAATCGTTGCTAGTATGGTGGCTCGCTATCCCACTCTCTACAGCGCGCGAATACCGACCTACCGACTGCTGACTTTCAAAGTACAAAGGTGCCGCCGATGAGATGACCAGCTGGTAATGAATAAGCTGTGATTTCAATATTTGACTTGAGCGATGATACACATTTTTGGATTTCTGTTTTAATGGAATCTGTTTGTTGTTTATTAGACTGTTGCAATAGATTGAATAATAATCGTTGCCCTTCTGGCAGCTGGGACACACTAATTTCTTCAACAAACATGCTTATGTTTTAAAATTTTAAGTAATATTTTTAACATCTATATTAGCTTTGGTGGAATTAATTCAACAAGTTTTCAGGGGTTATGTTTCGATTATATTGCATGTAATTTTCAATTTTAAAATGCAGGTTACAAGGCTTACCAGTAAACAATGTCACTATAAAACTATTTTTTGTAAATAAGTATATAGATTTAACAAGAGATTGGCCACTTAAATATCAGATTTTATGATGAGAATAAATATCACGTGCGCTCGATACAACATCTGAACTACTCGCTGTGAATGTATTACAAAAACTACTTCGATAATATTGTGGAGAAAATGTAAACAAAAAATGTGTGTATTTGTGTACGAAATATGGGTTGCTTGCGCATGGTACCGAGCTTTTAACCGGATTTATGACAAGTGATAGATTATATCCCGAAAACATCAGCGCAGTAAAAGCTGCGCGTCTATTTCCTGCCCAGGGAGTGTCATTACTGCTAGAATACTTATACTGGGCTACTGCGCTGGTCTTCCTCCTTCCGCTTGCCAATCCTGACACTCATTGGCATAGACTTCAAGAATATGTAGTAGGGAGCAGCAGAGGCGCACCACTAACAAATAGATAAGGATCAAGACGTCAACAAATATTAGGAAATAATGTAATAATTTTAAACAATGTTACGCCCAAGAGTGCCCAGTAGTAGTACTTGGAAAATGTTCCACCAGGAGGATTAAATTGGCAAATAATTAAATATATCTATTACATCTATATATTAAAAAAATCATATATAAAAAATATTAGTTATGCAATTAATATAAAATATTATGAATAATTATTTAGAAAATAATTATTCATTCGAATTAAGTTTTATTTGAGTTCATCTCAAAATAGTAATAAATCACTGTTTTTTCTTCTTACTTTCTACTTTTGAAACTGCTTTCGATTTACGACAGATTCTAAGAATCCAAAAGGGAATTTTAAAAATAATGTAAAAAAACAGAAATATTGCTCCCATAACGTCTAAACCATAGTACTGATAGGCAGGGATATCAAGAACTGGACTTCTAAAATGTTTGGCTCCATTATGTCTAATGACATACTCTATCCACCATATTGCTTTGTCTACGCCTTTCATTGGTTGATCCAGCAGAATGTCAGCTGTTTTAATGCAGTTTTCTTTATACCTAAGAAACAAGTCTTAATTACTATTGCTATCAATTGAAAATATTCATTATTGTTGAACAATACCATGAACAAAATATACATTTTAAAATATATCCTACGAACTAATATGTTTAATGTTTATTGTTTTTGTAAGGGTGTACGTAAGACAAAAATATAAGGATGCGAAAGTCAAATAAGAGAAGCAAAATCTAAAATAGATTGTACAAAAGTAAAATACAATGTTTTATTATGTTTATTATACAGGGTGTCTGTAAAAGGTCTTTACAAAAGTCTGCCACATATTCCATAGACCAAAATAAGTCTATTAAAGTAAAATTACCTTAGTACAAAGTTGCTTCGTTTGGGCTCCAGAGGGCCTTGAAGTTACAATTTTTAAATCGTTTTTCCCATATAAATTTAAAACGGCATATGCGATTTTGCTGAAATTTGGTATATTGGTAGAGTTTTATGTGGAAAAAAAAAATGGTATTAAAATTTTGTCCGATAATAATACATAGGCGTAGAACTTGATTTTTTAAATAATTGCACCTTTAAAAATTCTACGCCAATGAAAGAAAAGAAGTTTAAGTATGAAATTTAGATTGCGCAACTCATTTACTTTAAAAAAGGTATTCTTGATAAGACTCGATCACTCTCATGGTTTTCGCTAAATTTCTGTTTTAATAATTTAGAGTGTATAGGTTTTACAAAAATATTTATTTACAACATAATCAAAATAGAGATTTTACAAAAATTGTTCAAAATGTTCACCATTTTCACACATACATAACTTTTTCATCACCTCTAAGATTGTTTATTGCATCTTGAATACGTTGCCAGAGTTGTTCCTCATTTTCTACAGGTTCCCTGTAAACTGTGGATTTCAGATGTCCCCATAAAAAGTAATCCATCGGTGTTAGGTCTGGGGTACGTGGTGGTCAGTTTACAGGTGCGTCATTACCTCTGCCTATCCATTTGTGTGGATATTGTTCGTTCAAGTGGTTTCAAACGTTTAAAGAAAAATGTGGTGGAGCTCCATCTTGCATAAACCACATATCTCTCCGAAGTTGGAGAGGTAAATCTTCTAACAATTCTAGCAACGTATTTTGTAGAAAATCTAAATAATTTTCTCCAGTTAATCTTCGTGGAAGTATGACAGGACCAACAAAGAAATTACCAATTATTCCAGCCCACACATTCATTTTGAATTCGTGCTGAATATTGTTTACCTTTATTGCATGCGGATTTTCAACGGCATAAACATGTTCATTATGGGTATTAGTTATACCTCTTCTTGTAAAACCCACGTCATCGGTAAAGAGAACCTTCTTGACAAAGTTTGGATCTCTTTCTCTTTGCATATTAACAAATCGATAAAAACCCAAACGAATTTGAGGATCATGGACTAATCATTCTTGTACTGGCTTCTTATGGTATCTATATCCATACCATAAGAAGCCAATTGTTCTCTAAGCACTTTATGAACGACATCTTTACTTATTCCTAGTTCCCTTCCAATTCATCTGGTGCTTAATTCTGAATCTTCTTCAACACGTTCTAAAATGTCTTCTTCAACTTCAGGAATCCTTACAAAACGTTCTCTTCCATTATCAACAGTGTTGGGAGCAAAGGAACCGGTCTCCCGAAGACGTCTCTCAACAGCAGCAAAAGTTGGGTGGCTAGGTACACGACGATTTAGAAACCTTTCAGAGTACACCCTGACACTCTCTCGAGCATTTCCTTCACAAAATCCTAATGTCAGTAACATATCGGTATATTCTGCATTGGTATATTGTACAGCCATATTAATAAACCACGCATTTGATTTTTTTTATTATTGAGTCAGATAGAACACTTTCAATCGTTAACAAGAGATTAGGTGTTAAAACTTGACAATATTTTTATTTAGATAAAATTATGGAAACCAACAATAAATGTTTTTGTATTCGTATTGCAGGCAAATAATTAATATTCCTCAAAAAATCGTACATGGCAAGAATCGAGTATTTTTGTTAAAAGTCTCGATTAGAGGTGTTGAAGAAGATATGAAAAAAGTACATTTTTATGTTTTTCATCGTATAAAATTTTGTCCGCTAATAATACATAGGCGTAGAACTTGCACCCTTAAAAATTCTACGCCAATGGCAAAAGAGGGGTTTGAGTATAAAATTTGGATTGGGTACCCATTTACTACAAAAAAGTACCCTTGATAACACTCGATTTACTTTAATGGTTTTGACAAAGTTTGTATTTTAATAATTATTGTTTATGTTCTAAAATTACTAAAATGCAAATTTCGTCAAAACCATGAGAGTAATCGAGTCTTATCAAGAGTACCTTTTTTAAAGTAAATGAGTTGCGCCATCTAAATTTCATACTCAAACTCCTTTTCTTCCATTGGCGTAGAATTTTTAAAGATGCAATTATTTAAAAAATCAAGTTCTACGCCTATGTATTATTATCGGACAAAATTTGAATACCATTTTTTTGCCACATAAAACTCTACCAATATACCAAATTTCTGCAAAATCGCATATGCAGTTTTAAATTTATATGGAAAAAACGATTTAAAAATTGTAACTTCAAAGCCCTCTGGAGCCCAAACGAAGCAACTTTGTACTGAGGTAATTTTACTTAAATCGACTTATTTTGGTATAAGAAATATGTGGTATGTTTTTGTAAAGACCTTCTACAGACACCCTGTATAATTCTCCTCTAATAACGAATCCTAAAGATTTTTTTTGCCTTCATGCAAGTCTCTTCAAAGTGCACTGCAAGTGACTTGAATCGTATTTTATTCCCAAACATTTAGCTTCACTAATTCTATTTAAATTAAGTTAAATTTTCAGCCTAATTAAAGATAAAAGCCTAACTTAGGTCGTCTTACTAATAAATTTAGGTATTGGAATAAATTTAACTATATACCGTAATATTCACTGGGAATATTAAGTACTTTAGGGAATTTTACTTACTTGGGGTCGGAAATAACTTCCAAAATGATACTCTTAAATTGTTCTTTATTTAAATTTGGTTTATATGGTACAATTCTAGCGACACCTGTAAGTTCCATCCTCATAGCATTGGATTCTTGATCTCCATGTATAGGCAATATCACCATAGGTACATGACTAATGACCGATTCCTCTAAAGACTGAACACCTCCTTGGGTGATGAACAGTTTTATGTTCGGATGCCCTTAAAGTGAAATAAATAATAAAAAATAAATACATTCTTTATTGTCCAACATATATAACATCCAAAGAAAGGACAAAATATAACATTAATAGATTTTTAAAAGTAACTCAGCTATATATGTGTTGCTGGATCTTACCAAGGCCTTCGACACTGTGTGCTATACATAAATGTTGCATGCACTGGAGGATGCAAGAATACATGATGCATCCAACGAATTATTTCGAGACTACTTATCAAAACTATTACAAGTAGTAAAAATCGATAGTGTTATAAGTTGAGAAAAACAGCGCTATTATAGGACGCGTAGTTTTGTCACGCGACATATTGTCCAACGCCATTTCTCAAAGCCCTCTTTCTTAACAGAGCCATTTTAATTATTAATATTTTTAAACTTACTTAAAATATCTTGTTGTGGTGCCCAAGATATAAATTTAACATTTTTGGGCGGTTTTATTACATCTGTCATTTCAAATTTCCACAGGACCTTATAGGGCAGTTCGCTAAGGGTTTCCATAATTATTTGAATTTTATCCTCCGGAATGTCTACACTTTTGGAGTTAGAACCTAAGCTGAAGTAGATGCATCCATCTTTTGCGTCGTTTAGGAAGTCCTGGAGATCCTAAAATAATAACAATTTAAAAATTTAATTAGAACATAATGTATTATAGGAAATATCAAACTATAATCTGAATAAAAAAGGAGAACAATAAAAGTGGGGATATGACGTCACATTCTATAGGCTTACTTTGCAAAATAAGTTTCTATAATAAAAATAAACCGCTGACAAAAATGTATTACACTTTAACATTGAACGAATTAATTATAACCAATAAATAACAAGAAAGATTATATCGATCGGTAATAGGTGAATAGGCGTAACCCTCAATTTTTGGTAAATGGCGTTACCGTCATTTATGAGACTACCGACATTTCTCTACGGTCTGGTCAACTGGCGTAGCCCATAAACCAAAAAATGGCGCGCAAATTGGAAATAAACATTTTTTTATAATCTACGTCTCAGATATACTGGGACAAGTCAATCGGCGTAACCCTTGGGCGTAAGCCACACAGAAGTAAGAAAAATAAATAGCAATTGGCGTAACCCTCATACAGAAACTGGCGTAAGCCAGAAAAAAGTAATAGAAATAACTGTCAATTGGCGTAAACCTCACACATAAATCGGATCAAACCTAACCTATCCATACTTCAGTTAGCTAGTTCTTGTCAACGAGGTGAGACGTAATTAGAGGTATTTTTTAGCGAGTGTTTGGTTTAAAATATTTTCGACTTTTTTAAACCGTTTAAAATTTAGCGATGCAACTATGACGTCACGTACGAAATATTTTAAACCAAAGCTCGAATTTTTGAACCAGTCAGTCGGAGGCATATGGTTCAATAACGGTTGACACATAAGAGATTCTGATTTTGGCTGTTGTATGTTGTTTTACTCTGTTCCATTCTTTGAAAATTTTGATATATTTGACGTTTTGTTAATTTTTATTATCATACATATATTATGTGATTCATATTCATACATTATGTTATAATATTAATATTTATCGTTATATGTTGTAAACATTATAAACAAGATGTGATCTACCTATAGGTTACTCTGGATTATGAAACAATGATGCAATTGAAATGTGGTAAAAGAATGAATTATCAGTTACCTATACGTTTTTTGCAAAAATAATTACGTAAATTTCTCTTCAGATTCTGAATTTTCCAGTAAATATTTAAAAGCAATTAAACATTCTTTGGCACAAGACGTTCTAATTGATGAACTTTGGAAAAGCCCAAAAAAAAATTACAGCAGAGGATCGTCAGACAATGGGGCATGTTCAAAAATTTTGAAATTTTTTTTATGAATAATAGAGTTGAAAATAAAATTACATTTTTTTTATTTTTTTTTTATCTATTCATTTGCCGGAGTTATGAATTTTTTTAAAATTTATGACGTCACCGGGAATAGACCAATAGGAGCTAGCGCACAACGTTGCCGGCTAGAAGGTTTACGAGAAGTGATGTACGTTCGTTTGTGTACTCCTTCTTACTTTTAGACTTCTAAAACATCGTTAAACAAATATCTTTTAAATATATAATATCAAATGTTTTTTTAAAGTATTATTTCTGTTTAAACTTTTACCATATTTAAGGTTTCATTGTTTTAAAAGTCACTTAATAATTCAGAAAATGGCAAAATGGCAGCACTGTGTATGGCATCTGTCATCATAGTGTCTCCATCAAGAATTTATTTGGAATTTGATTGTTTAATTTTGTACTTTTTATAAATATTATGACTACGAAAAAGTGTTTTGTTCCAGAATGTGATAATGATTCACATTCATCTTCAAAAATATTTATTAGTGTTCCTAGAAATTTGGAAAGAAGAAAATCAACCTTCTACTAGCGATGTTTCTCGTGAACTTTTTAATAAAAATACACCGGATTATCAAGATGTAGCAGCAATTTCTGCTAATTGTAATTTATTTACAAATAAAAAATATATACAAATCCTAAGAATATAAAAGTACTGATTTATTTTCCTGTAGTGGATGAAGAGGTTTCTTTAACAATCTAGCCAAGTGTACATCATTATCAATAACACTGAGTAGATGTTACAGATGGTTCCTCACTTCTTCTATGAAGCCACATGTTTACAACCTCCTGAAAAAAATAAAAGGGTTAGATATGCAGTTACAAAATAACTATATAACCAGCTACAAAATGCCTTATTTTATGTAACAAGACGAGCACTTTACTAGCTCTGAACGAATCCAGTAAAGAACCTCTGATTTTCAAAACTTAAAAAAAACAAGCTCACCACATTTTCACATTTTTGAAATATTATAGAGCTTTTCGAAAAAACTGCTATTTTTAAAAGTACCATTTTTGTTTAAACAGCTATGTCTCATTTTAGGCTATTGAGTATTATAAAATAAAAAATTACGGGATGCTTTGTTAGCTTCAAACGAATCCAGCAGAGCACCCCAGTTTTTTTTTAAACCACACCACATTTTTTGGCTCCTACAATATTATAAAATATTCGAAATTTGACATTTTTAAAAAAAATTCGCAATTCCCTGACTTCAAAGTTTTTTTTCTGAAAACAAATATACTTATCACATTTTTAGGATTTTAAAACAGCCTAAACATGTGTCATAAGTAGTTGTTTTTATATATTAAAAAACTGAAGTGTCCTGCTGACTTTGTTCCAACAAAGCACCCTGTATTATTTAAAAATAGCAATTTTTTTAGTAAAGTTTTACAATATTTCAAGAGTCTAAAAATGGGGTGTGGTTTTTAGAAAAAAGCTTTAAAAAACCGAATTGCTCTGCTGGCTTCTTTCGAAGGTTAGCAAGCACCATGTATTTTTTAAAAATATAATATTTCAAGTGCATAAATATATGGTGTTGCTGTTTTTACAGAAAAAACTTTATAAAACAGAGGTGCTTTGCTGACTTCGTTCGAAGCTATCAGAGCATTTTAAGTTTTGCATAAAACGAGGAGCATAAAATTTTTGAAAAGGGTATAAAAATAGCCTAAAAATATGGCATGTTTTAACTCAAAATTTCATAGGTGCTCTGCAGCATTCTTTGGTATCATAATTATTACTAGGTTCACTAACAAAATCTATTTCTAGATTATTTTAACACTTGCTGCGATTACAAAAAATGTCTCTTTATGTCAAAATTAGAAAAAAAATATTTATAAGAATAAAGGGCCTTATACACTGTTTATTATATGTGATATAAAAACAAAAAAGCATAATAAATATTACAAACCTTGAGATTCAACATATCCTAAGCATTGTGCACTAAAAAACAGCCACATCATAAGGTTTTTGCTGTACTTTATGTTTAGGTGTAATTTGTCTCCTTCTCTCTTATGGAAAAAGTAAATATCTCCATATTCTTGCTTGGCAGATCTAAAAATAAAACCTGAGATAAATATGTTTTACTATAAAGTGTACTGCTTCATATAAACTGTAACTACCTACCATTAAAACAATTTATAAATAAAGTTTTACCTTTTTATCTTTTGGAAACTGAGTATTGTTAAAAAATGCAGTAATCATCTCGGTAATCATATTTTCGTTTACAATGGGAAAAATACTTGATTCAACTTTTATAAATACAGCTGATAAATTCATAATATTCTTCCTTTATATATCCTATATCCCACAGGATAATTTACCCAGATAAATGCAGATTAATAATAAAATTAAACCAAAACAAAAAACTAAGGTTAGTTGTTAGGTGCTGTCAATTTTTAAATGTCACTTAGATGTGCGTTCACTTCGACATTCTGTATGTAGGTTTGTTCGTTGGCTTGGTTTTGTAAAACAAAAAAAACTTCGACACAAGCTGATTGGTCTATTCCCGATGACGTATAATTTCAAATTTTAAATTTCAATTGGGCTTAATTTAAAAACTTTTAGCTTTTTTAACGAACTGATTATTTAGAATAACTTGTATAGCGACTAACTATTACAATATAGTTTATAAAACAGCATATCTCACATGTGAACATGGCCCATTGCGTATTTGTTGGAGCTACGGAATAAATATATGCCATGTTTATGGGCAAGAAATATATCAAAAATAAAACTATGAACAACGTTTCAGATTGCAATTTATTAATAACACTCCAATTTTTAATTAAAATCGCTATCAAACAAACTCATCTTCCTTCATCTGATTTAACAATCATAAAAAAAATTCAATTCATTTTTTTAATCAACTTCGCTTCTCTTTTCTACAACTTATTTCAACCGGTAATCCATCAAAAAATAATACGATCGAAATCAATATTTCAAATTTTGTCATCATATGTATGAAGACTAGTCTTCATAGTCATATGACAGTTAGCAGGTTATATTTTTAAACCACCCTATTTTTGCCATCTATTAATTCATGACGTCACTTTAAATATGGTTTAAAAAATATTTTAAACCAATGTGGTGGCTAAAAAACAGCTTTAGAATAACTAGGCACTGTTTATAACAGAGTTGCAAATAATGGTAAGTAAAATAATGGTATTTAAAGAGAAATTATTGGTATATAAAAGCAACCAAATACTAATCTTTTATTTTTATGTATTTACACTGAGAAAACAACTACTTTTTTTCAACAAAAAAAAATATTATTTACATTGTTTAACATCCGGTATTTTTTATAGATGTGTAGTCGTGGAAAACGAATTGTGGCTATGTTACAAGATGTTGTGGATGATGCTCAAACAACTTCTTACCTTGATTCTAGTATGGATGCATCAGAAAATAATGTTCGAAACATAGAACAAAACTGTGCTTCGCCTACAAAAAGTACTGAACAATTAAATTCAGTATTTCCCACCCCATAAATGGACAAGTCCAAGTATGAGGTGGGGCATATGATTTAAGAAAACCACAAAACCTAAACCACGATATTGTACATAGTTTTGATTTTCTAATTAAGTAATTGGGAAGGGTTTATCTTATACTCAGGGGGGCTGATTCCAGCAGATCCTGGAGTTCAGCGGTGAGGGGGAGGTCTTGGGCGTCGGAGAGGAGTTTTAGATTAGGCTGTGGCAGTTTTCTTTTCGGTTTTCGAAAGAGAGGGAGTTGGTTGGGGCGCCATGGGGTTCGGAGTGTGTCTAGGGAGTGAGTGTTTGTGCCTTTCAGCGTGCGAGAGACGTACTGTTTCCTGAGGGTCTGGAAACGTGTGAGGATGGGGGTGTTTAGGTAGACTTCTCCACTGGGGGAGCGATAGGGGAGGTACTGGCAGCGTCTGAGAATACGTCTCTCGAGTGTGGTGAATTTGTGGGACAGGTATGTGGGAAGTACTTCGTAGGGTATAGCTCTGTATTCGGCAACGGGTCGGATGAAGGAGTTATATATGTAAATAAGGGTGTTTGGGTTATAACGCCCCATTCGTCCGCACAAAGCTCCAAGGAGACTGGCTCGCTTTCGCATCTTGTCAAGAGTGCGTTGGACATCAGAGGACCAGTTAAGTGTACGAGAAAATCGTACCCCCAAATAATCGACTTCAGTCTGTTGGGCGAGCCTGACTCCCAGGAGATTTACGTTTACGAGTTGGGGGTTCTGGGAGGTTCTTTTGGAATTTGGGTGTTTGAAGACAATAAATTGAGTTTTCTGTGGATTTAATGAGACCCTTCATCTGCTACACCAGTGAGAGTAGTGGTTCAACAGATTTTGGGTTCGAATATTTAGTTGGTTTGAATTTTTGGCTACCCAAATTAGAGCTGGATAAGGCAGTTTACAGATACTTTGAGCATCACTGAGATCAAAAACTGATTAAATACTGGGATGCGCATCCAGATCTACGTCTTAATAAGAGTCGATTCGGTAAAATTTTTACCAAAGTCTGGCCCAAATGTATGACGCCTGAGATTATTATTAGTAGATTTAAAGCAACTGGAATGTTTCCACTTAACCTACAAAGGATTCCAGAGTCAGCATTTGCCCCATCACTTGTAAGCCAGCGCCATTTAGAAGACCTTGAACGACCTGTACCTGATGAAGGAATTCTGCGAGACAACACAAACAGCAGTGTAATTCCGAATATTTTAGAAGTTAATAACGCTACAAATACAACGGATCATAGATCTGAGTCCGATGATGAGTTAGAAGAAATACCACTAAATAAGCTAGCAAAAATTGTGAAAGTTTCAGCAGTAGCAGGAAGCAGCAAATATGGAGAAAAAACACCAGTAAAAAATGACGAATCACGAAAATCGCTGGGGGGACCACAGCTACAGATAAAACGTTGACAGACAACATCATGATGGACACTAGTAATGAAGTTCTTAATCTTTTAAGGAATTGCTTCCTACTCCTGAGCTTTTTGCAACAAAGAATAAAAACAATAACACAGCTGACAGGAAAAAATCCCTTAATTATAAAGCGCAAGCGGTAACGAAAGACCTTTTTTCATCCGTTAGCACAAAGTCCACATCAGTATCTGCTACCTCCAGGAAGTTTGCAGCAAAAAAATCTAAACCTTCAACAGCAGACATCAGGTCTGCATCAAAAGAATCTAAATCTTTAACGCCAATCAGTAAATCTGCAGCAAAAGAACCTAGACCTTCAACGTCAAAATTTTCGGCTTCAATTTTCTCAAAAAAAGCATTGGACAGTGATTCATGGTACTGTTTTCTTTGCGGAACTGATAACAAACTTGACATGAGACAATATGTAACTTGTTCAAAATGGTGTCATGAAGCTTGTTTAAGGTTAACACAACGCGATACGGAATGTTTTGTTCCTCCAAAGTGTTGCTAATGAACTATTTTAGAATGCCTTAGTTTCTTTTATAAGCTTAATATTTGTGCCTTTTTTTAGTTTATATTGTTTTAAAAATGTTTTTGAATTTATAAATACACGTGTAAGCGTTATATTTTGTGGGTCTTTTTAAAAGAATCGAATTTTAAGCAAGGGCACTATTACCCTCTTGGTTGTATGATAAGGCCCTTTGCAGGCTTTTTAAAAAAGGCTCAAAAATAAAAAAAAAAATAGAAATTTCTATTAGAGATGTATTCATTTGTTCTAAGAAGCGTAACTATTTTTGATTATGTGTATTTTCCATTTTATTTTAACTTTTTTTTTTAAATAAAATGAGTTTGTTCCTTAGGTGGGCCTTATTTGCCTCAAATACCTTATATCTTTTTTTGTTAAATTTAAAAAAATCCTCTGTTGAGGTGTAATCTAATGTTTTGGAATTACATGATTGAGTCTTTGTATTTTAATGTACTGATTTTAATAAGTGGAACAGACATTTGACCAAATTATACCTATATTTTCTTATAATGTTGGATTTTATTAAGGCAACAACACCAAAACTACAAATGGTATGAATGGTGTTATTTTATTTTCACGTAAATAACTTTTAACATTTAATCTATTTTTTGTTAATATTGTTATTAACCTTAATAATTTTATTTATTTAGTACTTACTTTGGGTAATGGTTTTAACGGAAATATATGATTTCCTCCTCCAAAATATATCACATTAGGTCCCACCGTTCTTATACCAGCAAATATTGGATGGGAGTTAATTAGTAACAGATCGGTGTCCAGGAGTATTTCTGCAGGATGTCTAACTGTTTCTCCAAAATGTCTTTTCAGTACCTCATGTCGTTGTGGAAAATGTATATACCATTTAAAGACTTTGTACAATATATTGTGTACAAAACTATGCAATCTACCAAAAAAATTCATGTTTTCAGAAATGTATGGCAAAAGTATGTCTGGATTTGCCACATGATTGGGGGGGTTACCTAATAAAATAAAAATAAAAATATTATTAATAATGATATAGGAAACACACTTTAAAAAAGAAGAAAACTGATTATATATGAGGATGACAAGGGAATCAATGCTTTTGATAAATTCCAAAAGAAGTATCTGGAAAAGTGTCTTGTCTACTTGAAAAATACTGCGATTGGTGTTATAAAAGCAACTTAATAGTAAACTAATAATAATAAAATAATATATATCGAATTTCATTTAAATCAGAATCTAGTTTCACTTTTGAAATACAAATTAGTGGCATGAGCTAAAATGAATAATGGACATAATGTTAAAGCAGCACTGCTTAGACCTGGACTCAAAGAACACTAAATGGAAGAAGCACTGAACATGTTAAAAATGGTTATTGACATACATCAAAGAGGTGGATTTATGATGTCAAATTGGATGAGCAATTCTCAAAAATTACTAAAAGAGCTTCTAGGAGAATATATATTATGCAAAAGGAATAATATAAATTTGCATTACAAAAATTTTGATAGAGTTCTTGGCTTGTGTTGAAACACACAAGACAATAATTTTGAATTAACATTAAGATTTGACAAAGTTTCAGAGGATATTTTAAAAATTAAAGAAGTATCCATGAAAAGAGATATTTTAAAAGTCGTAATGATTATATTTGACCCACTTGGATGTTGGTCCCCCTATTGATCGTTTTAGGAAAACATATTTTTCAGGAATGTTGAAAAAGAGAATTGGGTTGGGATCAAAGAGTTTCTCAAGAATTATATATGATATAGGAGAATGGATTGTTGAAGTTATTTAGAAGAAACCACCGTTAAAGAAAATTATGTAGAATACTTTTATTATTTTACTTTATTTCGTACAGTGGCAACTTTTTATTAATCATTACATGACATTCAACATTTTTTATACCTGTGGTTATTTCTTTATAAATTATATATATACAGTTAGGACCCACAACACTTCCCCTTAATTTATAAAGAAATAAAGTACTTAAACTAATCCAATACACCTAATACAATTTTCATGCTTTATAGGAGGTAATTCTTTCGTCAATACATCAGGCATCTCATTTGTAGGCATATATTTTAAATTAATAAGTTTGTCCGAAACACAAGAGCTATAAAATGGTAACGTACGCCTATGTGTTTTAGTCCGGTTATGACTAGTTTCATTTTATCAAATACAGCACTTTGATTATTATTATAAATGGTTATTTCGTTTTTTGTTCTGGGACAAAACGCATTCTTTTGCTCTTTTAGAGAGGGCAACCGTTGGTAAAAGAAAACTTGAAGACAAACCAAATCTGTAGATATTTTGATAGTCCTGTCAACTACTGACTACATACTTACTACTTACAAGTATGGCTTCTCATAGTAGTAGTTCTCTTCCTACAATCGAAAAGCTAACTGGTGCAAATAACTATAAAAACTGGAAGTTTGCAATACAGATGTTTTTGAAGCACAAAGATATGTGAGAATATGTGGATGGTACTATAAATCCAGGTGGCAAATATTATAATACAAAGAAGAATGAAAAAGCTATGGCAACAATATGTTTAATGGTTTCTCAGTGACTGTATGTACATGTTTCCAGTGCCAAAGGTGCTAAAGAAGCTTGGGATATTCTTTCTAAATTATTTGAACCCAAAAGATATGTAGGGCGCTTACGATTGCGTCAAAAACTTTTAAAATGTTCATTAGGTGACTATAAGGACATGGCTTCTTACATTTCGAGTATTATTAAAATAGCACAACAATTATCAGACATTGATGCCACTGTAGCTGATGAAGATTTCAGATGTCAGAAATCGAAGACCGAACCGACGACGAGCCAAAAATGTCTGCGATCCCATGGAAGAAAAGTCACTTGGTGGTTCTAAGTACTTGTTAACTTTCACTGACGATTTTTCATGAAAAATCTCTGTTTATTTTCTGCGATCCAAAGATGAAACATTTGACAAATTTATAAAATTTAAATCATTTGTCGAAAATCAGTCAGGAAAGAAAATAAAAACTCTAAGATATGAGAAATATGCAAATAATAACATGAAAGAATGCCTTGTCATCAGCATCATCATCTACGCAGAGGTCCTCAATATCTACGTCAGACAATGAATAGTCATTATCTTCCTGAAGAACTTTTCTTTTAGCCTTCTTAAGACTTTCCTTGTACTTTTTGGTTTTTTCGGCCTTTACGATGTCTTTTTGTTTTCCCTTTTCTTTTAAGATCTTGTGCTGCTTTTTGTTTTCCATTTCTATAAGACTGTCTTTAATTGGCGTGGAGGTCAGAATGGTAGAATATTGGCTTTTTTCGGCCTTGTCTTGTACTCACAGATGTTTTGGTAGGCAAATTTATAAAATTTTCAACCCTTGGTCGTTTTTTTGGAGGTGTTTCTTGCCCAGATGTTGATGCAATCATCTGAGCTTCTTATGCAGATGTTGATGCGAACACCTGAGCTTTTTGTGCAGATGTTGATGCAACCATCTGAGCTTCTTGTGCAGATGTTGATGCAACCGCCAGTGATTCTTGTGATGTCAGAGATGCAGTTATCTCAAGAGGAAAAGGGCTTTCGTTATCTTGAATTACCACTGGTTCGCCTTGCAGTATCTCAGCAGGTAAAAAGTCTTCATCACTGAACACATTTGAGTTCATTGGAAATATATCGGTGACTCTAAATCCAGACTCTCCCTTACTTATAGAAGCAACATTCGAATATGCTTTGTTGAATAACGATGCAACATCGTACGGAGTTATTTGTTATGCAAGGTGGCTTTTCATAAAGCAGTCAGATTCTTTTTTGTAGGCAGCCTTAAGTGGTCCGTAAAACGTCACGTCCAACGGCTGCATTCTATGAGACGTGTGTGGTGGTAAGGATAGCACATGAATGTTGTGGGCTTTGCAGTGCTTGTAAATATCATGAGAAATGTGGCTGGCGTGATTATTTAGTATCAACAAGACTGGTTCTTCTGCAGAAGGTTTGGCAAATGTTGTGAAATGTTGAAGCCATTCCAAAAAAAGGGTTTCATTGGTCCAGCCATTATCTGAGCAGCGGTATATAGCACCAGCAGGGCCATCTTTTTCCAGGAGAGGGGAATGTCGTTTCCTAGGGAAGATAAACATTGGGGGTATGAATGACCCAGCAGCGCTCATCGTACACATAACGGTAATGTTTTTGCCTCTCTCCCAACTAGTAAGGGATCCTACCCTTTTTTTGTCCTTTTGGAGCTAGTATTTTTCCCGGATCTTGGACTGTTGAGATCCCTGTCTCATCACAATTATAAATATTTTTGAGGGTAAATTTATAGGTCTCCATTATTTTTTTCAAGTTCTTGTAGAAAAGTGAAACTTCTGTTTTGTTAAAGGCCGTTATTCTGTTTATACTGGTGGCTTCTGGCTTCCTTACCGATATTCCATTTCTCTTTAAGAAGCCTTCAAGCCAGTCTCGCCCCGCCATTTTAGTATTATTATTAAAATTGTGTAGCAATTAGAAACATTCTGTATATTCATAAGCCAGTTTCCTTGCTTGGATAGCTGTGCAGCCGTAAAATATATTAGCTATTTTTTTCACCACATCAGCTATCTCTTTTTCAATTTCTGCAGAAAATACAGCTTTGCGCCCTAGAGATGGACAAAAATTTTAAAATCATTAACGCTATAGTCCACGTACACGATGTTAAAATCTACAGTTATGGCCAAAAATAATATTCATGTTAAAACTGGTTGCTTAAAAAAAAATGTAGGGGACCTGGCGAAAAAGGAGGCGGTTTTTACAAGAAATAATGTAAATAAATTTCTAACAGAAGCTCCAGATGAAAGTTACTAAAATGTGAGATATGGTAGGTAATACGTTTTAATATTTTAGGTATTTTAGGTATTTTAGTTATTTGAGGTATTTTAGGTATTTTAGGTATTTTAGGTATTTTAGGTATTTTAGGTATTTTAGGTATTTTAGGTATTTTAGGTATTTTAGGTATTTTAGGTATTTTAGGTATTTTAGGTATTTTAGGTATTTTAGGTATTTTAGGTATTATAGGTATTTTAGGTATTTTAGGTATTTTAGGTATTTTAGGTATTTTAGGTATTTTAGGTATTTTAGGTATTTTAGGTATTTTAGGTATTTTAGGTATTTTAGGTATTTTAGGTATTTTAGGTATTTTAGGTATTTTAGGTATTTTAGGTATTTTAGGTATTTTAGGTATTTTAGGTATTTTAGGTATTTTAGGTATTTTAGGTATTTTAGGTATTTTAGGTATTTTAGGTATTTTAGGTATTTTAGGTATTTTAGGTATTTTAGGTATTTTAGGTATTTAGGTATTTTAGGTATTTTAGGTATTTTAGGTATTTTAGGTATTTTAGGTATTTTAGGTATTTTAGGTATTTTAGGTATTTTAGGTATTTTAGGTATTTTAGGTATTTTAGGTATTTTAGGTATTTTAGGTATTTTAGGTATTTTAGGTATTTTAGGTATTTTAGGAATTTTTAGGAATTTTTAGAAATTTTTAGACATTTTTGACTTTAGACATTTTTAGACATTTTTAGACATTTTTAGACATTTTTAGACATTTTTAGGCATTTTTAGGCATTTTTAGGTATTTTTTTTAGGTATTTTTAGGTATTTTTAGGTATTTTTAGGTATTTTTTAAGGTATTTTTAGGTATTTTTAGGTATTTTTAGGTATTTTTAGGTATTTTTAGGTATTTTTAGGTATTTTTAGGTATTTTTAGGTATTTTTAGGTATTTTTTTAGATATTTTTAAGGTATTTTTAGGTATATTTAGGTATATTTAGGTATATTTAGGTATATTTAGGTATATTTAGGTATTTTTAGGTATTTTTTAGGTATTTGTAAGGTATTTTTAGGTATTTTTTAGGTATTTTTTAGGTATTTTAAGGTATTTTTAGGTATTTTTTTGGTATTTTAGGTATTTTTTGGTATTTTTAGGTATTTTTAGGTATTTTTAGGTATTTTTAGGTATTTTTTTTTAGGTATTTTTAGGTATTTT